ACCATCATTCATAATATTCCATTCAGTTACCTAATCTGTATAATTGTTTAAGCAGTGCTTGGCTCAGTGTGGGAATTATGGGACTTAGGCCTTTTTGCATGTCTCAGAAGTGGAAGAAAGTATATGATCTGCTCTTCCTGCCATGGCACGTGTGATCAGGTGTAGTGCAAACTATGTACTTGTGACGTGGTAGGAAGAAGCAAATCGAAACATTATAGGAAGTGTGTCCCATCCTAGCCATTTTCTTAAAAGATTACTTAGGTAATCTTAGTATTTAGGTAATAGCATCAAACTACTGTTTATCAAGTACTTGATTGCTATAAATAAGTCACATTTTCAAGGAACTTAGTATATTGTTCTCAGATAACTTATTGTGGCCTGTGATGAAACAGAGTTAGAACCCCCATGCTTAGGTCTCAGTGCTGCTGAGTCTGAGAGGGAGGCAGGAGAGGGACTCTTTTGCAAACTTTAGACGAAGGGAAATTATTCACCAGAAAGAAGTGTCACATGTTATCTCCTACCTGCCCTCTTTTACTCTTAGAAAGAAAGGGTGATGGTAAGCATAGGGGATTTACTGACTAGACACCAATGTTTCAGTTGCTTAGAAATTAGCCTGTAGTTGAAGAAAAACTAAAATGGTTACCTAAGGTTAAGATACATAATATAAATTTTTAACAAATAGTTGTGGTCTCATAGTGAATTTATGATAAGGATTAAAACTTATATTTTCATAAAGGGAAACATTTCTGAACTATGATTTTATAAAACATAGAATCATTTATTACTCAGTACCCTTATTACTCACCAGGGTTAGTGTGACCATATTTAAATCTACTGGGCCATTGATTCATGTGCACTGACATTTTAACATAATATGGAGGTGGGGAGGTAATGAGGCATAAAATAAATGAAATTAAACTTCATTTTAATACCTTGATGGATTTGTGGGTTTTTTCCCTATACTTTAAGAATGCAATAGAATGATTTAAAGTATATTGTATTGATGGGAAGTAATTAATAGCATCTGGCCTAGGCCTAGGGCAGACAGCATTAACACATTTATAAAATATTAAGAGAAAATAGTCCTTTGTGTACTTTGGGAAATTGATGTGTCCTTAGCTAGTTAGAGTACTATAGCTATGTTTTAAAGTTATTTATATGTATTTTTACTTCTATAAGATATTAGTGATTCTAATTCTGAAATTTTATAAAGAAACTAGAGACCTGGTGCATGAAATTCAGGTACAGGTAGGGTCCCTAGGCCTTGGTGGCGATCAGGGCCCATCAGGTTCCCCGCCTCCCTGCCTCCCGACCTCCTCCTTCCCTTGCTCCCTCAGTGCCCCACCCCACCCCACCCCCCTGGTTGCCTGCCATGTTCTGTGCTGCCCCCTGGTGGTCAGCACATGTCATAGCGAGTGATCAAACTCCCATTCTCCTGGTCGAACTCCCGAGGGGACACTTTGCATATTAGCCTTTTATATACAGATGCTTGTATTTGATTTTGAGTTCTAACCAAATTCAGAACCCAAACAAATCTGATCATTGAAATTTGAATGTTGGGAAGAACTTGCCATTTCTAAACCAAGTTAGTTCTGGCATGGAAATAAACACACACACACACACACACACACACACACACACACACCCCTTTCTACAATGGTTCAGACCCATGCAGTTTACAACTACTTGTTAGAAATGTGTTTCTTTTTTAATGTATTAAAATCTCCTTGATACAGATAGATTTCCCAAAACTGTGTCTTTGTTTTTTTTTTAGGTGGTACTAAGAATCAATGAAAGGCTGTTGAGACCGAATGAAACATTAGAGTTTGTGTTTTAGCTGGAGGAATGAATTTCTCTATAGAATCCTCTGTAAAACTTGTTTTGAATGGCAGTAAATAGGTTTGGGATTTTAAGAATTGCTTTTAACTTATGTTGGAATTTTTTTAAAATGTGGCTTGTAAATAATGTGATTCAAAAGCAACACGGATGAATTTCTAAGGAGCTGAAAGACACAAAAACAAAATTTCCCACAGCAATTTTTTTCTTTGACATTCTCCATATTCGGGTCATAGACTTAGTCTTTTCCACTCTATGCCTATTTCTGCTTCTAATTGGATCCCTTTTTTATTCTCCTATTGTCTTTTGAGATACTTTCTAAGTCTGGAAGAGACAAGATGCTAACCTTCTAAGAGGAAAGTTAATTTGTGGATATTTATAGATATGCCTAATGGAATTTCCAGTGAGTCTTTAAGAGAATTACTCCAGATGACACAGGGACATTCAGTGCTGATACTAATTTATATTTTGTCAGGAAACCCACATTATGCTGTAAATATAGTATTCTATAATCTAATTTTTATGGACAGGATCTGTCAATATTTTCTTGCTTACTAGAGATCATAAGATTACTGCTCAAATTAAATTACAGTGGGCAGTTTAGGTCACCCATGGTTAACTTACATAAGAAGGTTAGTCATTTGAATGAAAACTTGTCTGGGCCACAAAACCACCACATTTCCACATAAAGTAGGTGTATCCTTTCTGTTGAGGTAGTTGTGGTATTTGCTCTAAAAATAGGCCTACATTGTGGTAAAAATCTAATCCATTTGTTTATCCAAATCACATTAAGAAAATCAGCTTTTTAAAAATAAGTTTTTGTTGATTTCAGAGAGAGGAAGGGAGAGGGAGAGATAGAAACATCAATGAGAGAATCATTGATTGGCTGCCTCTTGCATGCCTCCTACTGGGGATCGAGCCCACAACCCAGACATGTGCCCTGACTGGCAATCAAACTGGAACCTCCTAGTTCAGTGATGGCGAACCTTTTGAGCTTGGCGTGTCAGCATTTTGAAAAACCCTAACTTAACTCTGGTGCCGTGTCACATATAGAAATTTTTTGGTATTTGCAATCATAGTAAAACAAAGACATATTTTTGATATTTATTTTATATATTTAAATGCCATTTAACAAAGAAAAATCAACCAAAAAAATGAGTGTGCGTGTCACCTCTGACACGCGTGTCATAGGTTCGCCATCACTGTCCTAGTTCATAGGTGGACACTCAACCACTGAGCCACTCCGGCCAGGCAAGAAAATCAGCTTTGATATGACTTTTAATTATAGGCAAGAATCTCCTATCGTGTCAAAAAGGATTAAGAGTCAATTCCTTTGAAGCTTTTTGTGATAATTTTAGGAAATTCTAACGTATAAAGAAAACTTTAAAATAATTTAAGATGCTTGGAATACAAGGAGAGAGTTGAGGGTGGCGTTGGTGTGGTATAGAGAAGCTGTAGATATAGCGAATCCCTCTCTGCACAGTGCAGAAGAGATTAGAAGAAGCTGGAAAATAGGGGGAAACTGTTGGTGAACTTGTCCAGCCAAGTCCTAGTAACATTATTAGTTCTTTGATTTTGAAATTGTTTTAGAGGGTAGTTGATAAGCTCCCCAAAACATGTAGAGCAACACATTTTAGAGAGAATAGGCAATTAAGTCCAAAGGAGCTTTGAAGATAATAATGGACACAATAAGGGGCCTTAAGAAGATAGACATATACCTAAACTACCCTAATTACTGACTTGTTACTTTCTATAGAACTCAGGCTATAGTTATGAATATTTGAGTAATTATAGTATAGGATATCATTTTAACTTTCTTACAGTCAGTCAATACCAGTAATACCATTCTGTGATAAAAAGACTGAAAGTCTGGCCCTGACCAGTTTGGCTCAGTGGATAGAGTGTCGGCCTGCGGACTGAAGGGTCCCAGGTTCGATTCCAGTCAAGGGCATGTACCTTGGTTGCGGGCACATCCCCAGTAGGGGGTGTGCAGGAGGCAGCTGATGGATGTTCCTCTCTCATCGATGTTTCTAACTCTCTATCCCTCTCCCTTCCTCTCTGTAAAAAAATCAATAAAATATATTTTTTTAAAAAGACTGAAAGTCTGTAGAAAGTAATAGTAATGAAAACATGCATCTAATAGATAAAATGCTCTTATTTATGATTCACAACTCTCCTGCTCTCAGGGGTTTTTGTTTTCTAACTTCTTCAGCTTGAGGTTGTCCTCTAGCATAATAATTAAACAGTAATAAGTAATGTATTTTAAATGATCCCTGCAAGTATATTCCTGAAAGGTATTAGTCCTTCATAACTAAAGATCTTTTACTATATATTGAACTGCCATAAAGTCTTATTTAATGGATCTAATGTGTTCTTATGATTAAGATATAAGGTTTACAACAGCCCAAAGAGTGAATAGTTTATATCAAAGAATTTTAAAGTGACAAAGTAATAGTAACCACTTGGTATTTTATAGGGAAATGAGACATTTACAAGAGTGGAGATATTTAGCTTTGACATTGTATACCCACATCTCTAAGAGACATCATGGTAACATGTTTAGATCTTTCCTTGAGTAAATTGCTTCCTATGATTTTAAGGTATTACTGGCCTCTAGTGGTAATATGCTATAGTTTAAACATTCTTAATTCTTATGAGTAACTAGAAAGAAAGCCTTTTTGAAGGTCTAAGCTGCCAATAAATTCACTTTCTCAGTTCTAGGTCAACAGTACTCTCAAAATGTGCAAGCAACAGCATCTTACTCTTAACGACCAGGGCCTCTATCTTTTGTTCTTGTCTCTGAGTCACCTTTTCCTCTTTATTTTGAATGATACTGGCTTAGCTCTGAAGTGACCTTTCATTATTTTAGGGCATATGCAGTAGTGATTACTGTGTCAAGTTTGTGCTTATGATTATAGAGTGTTTCAGCCCTCTTTTCTGCAGACTATAGACCAGTTTTTACTTCTCTTTGTTAACAGTTTTTATTTTCTTTTTTCTTAAAACAGTTTTTATTTTCTTAAGAGAAAGTTAAGATTTTAGTTTACCACTGAGATTCATGTTTAGAGTCATCTCTAATTTGATTTTGAAGAATGTTACATTTGAAATACTAGTTTGCTAAGCAGGATAATGATTTGTCACTTTTGTTTTTCATATTTGTTACCCAGATGTGAAAGGGCCACCTACGCATCGTCTGTCTTGTGGCCAGTCACCCTACACTGATACGACAACATGGGAGCGGAAGTATTGCATCCTCACAGACAGCCAGTTGGTGTTGCTCAACAAGGAGAAGGAGGTGAGAAGGGTATTATTGAGAAAAGCTACTTCCCTTTTCTGACCAAATTCCTGACATAATATAGTTTTTATTTGCATTTATGAAAATGGAGGCTTCATGAATGATAAACTATAACATGGCAGTTGCTGTAGCTCTACACAAAAGAACACAGCCTCTACCAGTACAAAAATGGCCAGCAAGGAGGACGCAAGGGAAAATAAACACTCTAACTCTCTTCTCCTGACTTCTGACTTCTTGTCAATGTTACCTGCTGGCCAAACCTAACTTGAAGTCAGAGGAAAAGATTACTCTTGATGTGTTCTGTAGAGGTTTGCTTCCTGAAACACACAGCAAGGTAGAGAAGGGCAGAGAATAGATCTGGAGAGGCAGACAGAATGTAATTAGTGCTATTCTAGGTGAACTTTCTGTCCCTCTAAATAAAAAAGTAAAAAACAACAACAGAACCCCTTGAACTTACCATATACTATGACTACTTTATTTATCAAATTGTTCAGTGTACAAATCCTTCCACATCCAAATAATTCATTTTCTTATTGGTGATTTATCACATGATGCCATTCTGATTTAGTAGGACCATTAGGCCATCCTATTCCCATCCTCCACAACATAAAAAAATAATGAATATGATCTTGACAAAGGGATAATGGAAGGGAAGGAGAAGACAAGATCTGATTCAATGAAAGAGAAAGATTAATTGCCATATATGTGTGTGTGTGTGTATATATATATAGCTATGGGTAGAGTATCGATATAATAAGTAAAATAATACTTTAATATAAAATTTTATTTTATTAAAATAATTTTTAAAGGGTCCTTTTCTTGAGCAATCTAGTATATGTGGACTGTGTTTATGTTAAGTAGACAAATAATAAAAATTGGTAGAGTGAATATTAGTAGAGAAGATTTTTAGTTACCAATTTGAATAAACAGATCATTCAAAATGCACATTTTAATAAACATACTCTGTCTTCAGTTTTTTTAAAATCACAGTTATGAACAGATCATTTGTCATCTTTATGCCCTTCCTTACATTTTATTCAGTTTAGTACTGTAAGAAATGTAATAGTCTAAGGATAGATAGCATAAACATGCCTTATCTAGAACCAAGATATAACCCACTGATTAGATATTACTGATCATTTGAATAATCCAGGCCTGGGTCCTCTTTTGTCTCATAAAATAACTGTCCATGATGAAAAATTTCCAAAAAACAGTATCTTAGGTACTTTATGCCTGTTCATGCCAGTCATCATGAGTAACCCTAGATGCCCGGGGAACTCATCATCTCCCACACTCTCTTTTTGGCTCTGTAGATCTCCTTTTCTGTCTCTGCCATTCAGTCATTCTTCCCTACCTCTTGGAACCCCTTCACTCTGCCCTCTGCAACTTACGGTCCGTCAGCAGCAAACTCAGCCGTTCTTCCACCTCTTCCTGAAGGAGTCCCTTAATTTTTGGTCTCATGAGAACCTGTATCTTCCCTGAGGACACTGTCTTCTGTGAGGTCCTGTCAAGTGTTGGCTGTTTTTCTCCCATAGCCCTCAGACCATGCTGCCTATAGTAGTTGTCCTTCTCCTCCCATGGCTGCTTCCTGTCTGACCTCTCCCCAACCCCTTTACACCTGGTCTGCCCCTCACACCTCTGATATCCTTTCTTCCCTCTTCACCTGGCCTGAATATTATGGTCAATCATTGTCATTGCTCCCTTGCACACTATTCCCTTGCCCTTCTCTTGCATCATCATTCTCACTTGACAGTGAGACAGCTCACTTAAATACTGCTCCTCATCTTCCCTGCCTGCTTCCATGCAGCATAATGTGTCTGGAGAAAATCACTCCACCATACTGATGGTCTTTAAACTAATGACTGCAAGCCTCATGTGAGCCCCTAATGTTGCTTGGCAATTACAAAACTTTCTTCTAGTCCAATTATTCTGGACGACCAATTTATGTGTGGTGAAGGACCAGTTTTTTCTCCCACCTCATTGTGAACAGTAAAATATAATAAAATGAAATTTGTAAAAAAGACAAAAATACAAACCCAAAATTTTTATTAGATTTAACAAAAATAAAATTACAATTAAAAAAATATACACAGAGTGATCATAACATAGGAAAAGAAGAAATAGAATTACAAAATTTACACATGTTCCTGGAAAGTGTGTTGTACAATGAGACAAATCCACTGATCTCAACTTCTGTACTGTTACATTGTTTATTAGTAACAAACAATTTGTAGAGCGGCACGTTGGACCACACTTTGCGTAGCACAATCCAAAGTGATTTCCAAGGTTTTTTTTACATCTCTTCCTCTTTTCTTAAAAATCCTTTCTCTATTACCCTCCCTTACAGTTGACTACTTTGCTTCTTTCTTCACTGAGAAGACTCAAGCACTCAGAAGGGAACTTCTGCATACTCCATTACCATGTCTACCTATCCACCAGCACCTGTTACCTATACCCTGACTTCCCGCCTTTAACTATGGTTCAGCTGACCATAATTCGACAATCCGTCCCTGCATGGGTGCCCATTCTAAGGATGTAGCACTAACAATTCTCCCCCACCCCTTTAGTTTTTCAATTTTTTGCTGTCCACTAGCTCATCCCCACCAGCATGCTATTATTTCTCCTATCTTAAAAGAAAAAATAATCTGATATCAACCTCACTTCTGCATCCAGTTACCATCCTTTTCTGCTTCCCTTAATAGCAAAAATTCTCAAAACTTGTAAGCTCACTGTCTCTAATTCCTCTTCTCTTGTTCTCGCTTAAACTACTCTGATCAGACTGTTACCCATAGTACTCTGTCAAAATTAATCTTGTTAAATTCACTGGTGACCTCCAAATTACTGAATTCAGTGGTCAGTTCTCATCTGATTTAATATGTCCGTGGCATTTAATGCAGTTGATGGCTCATTTCTTCTTCTAGAACAACTCTCTTCCCTTGGCTTCCCTGACACTGTGCTCAGTTTTCTTCTTGCCTCTCTGGCAATTCCTTCTAAGTCATCTTTGCAGATTTCTTTTTTCTCCAAATCTTTACAGGGGAGTGCCAGTCCGTGGACATCACTTATCTAATCTTATGACCTTAAACACCCTCTAATGCTGATGATTCCTAATTTTATGTCTTAAGCCTACACATAGGCTCTGTTCTCTATCTAGACTCACATATCCATCTGCTCATTACACATCTCTACTTGGATAGTAATAGTCATGTTCAACAAGCCCCACACTGATCCCCTAGTCTTCCGAAGCCTTCCAGAGACCTTCTCCTTCTTCATTAATGACAGCTCCATCCTTCCTAGTTCCAAAGGCTCACTGTGATCCAGCTACTCTGGCTTCGGCACTGTCCTTGAGCACATCAGACATGTTCCTGCCTCAAAGCCTTAGCCTTGGCTTTTCCTTTAAGATATTTGAATGATTTACTTTCTCACCTCCTTGAACTCTTTGCTTAGATATCACCTGCTTAATATAGGCCTACCTATTTAAAATTGCCACCCCTGCCCTGGCTGGGTAGCTCAGTTGGTTAGAGCATCATCCTAATATGCCAAGGTTGCTGGTTCGATCCCCGGTCAGGGCACATACAGGAAGCAACCAATGAATTCATAAATTAGTGGAACAGATAGATGTTTCTCCCTCTCTGTCTCTTTCTGTCTCTCTTTCTCCCTTCCTTCCCCCCCCCACTCAAGTCAGTCAATCAAATAAATAAATAAATTGCAACCCCTCCTGTATCTCCATCCAGAACATCTGATCTAATTATGTGGCTCTAATTTTATTTTGTCCCAGAGCATTTGCCACTTTCTAAAATGCTATCGAATTTATTTGTTATGTTTATTGTCTTTCTTCCACTACTGGAATGTAGGCTTTAGGGCAAGGATTTTTTTCTGTTTTGTTCAATGTTGTATCCCTCAGTGCTTATTACAGTTCTTGATACATAAGTAAATTCTCAATAAATATTTGTTTAATAAATTTTGAAAAAGCCAAATTATAAATTTGATTCCTGAAGATCCATTTGCTTAATATAAGTGTGAGAGGAGATGCACCTGTCCTTTTATCTTTTATTTTTGTGTGATAAATTTTTCCAGAGCATGAGGCTTAATTCCATGTTTTCTCCCTAAAACTAGATGATAAAAGAGGATAAAAATCCATAAAATGCTTTTCTATTGTTAATATGTGATTCCATCTGTATTTATTGAACATGTATTATGTGTGCAGTATTGTGATTGCAAAGATACAGGTTTGGGGGACATATTATGGTAAATTAAAAGTTATAACCATTTGGAACTCCATGCAGGTAGTGTTTGCACAACTTTGTGAATGTACTAAATGTCACTGAGTTAATTCACTTTAAAATGGTTAATTTTAAGTTAAGTGAATGTCACCTCAGTAAATTATTTTTTCTTAAGATTATAATATAATCACAAGGAAAGATTAACTGAGATATTGCCTGGAGTGGGTTATGGTGCAAACTAGAGAATGCCAAAAAAGGTTTTACAGAGAAATCTGTGATTAGGTCATGTCCAGGGACAAATAGAAGCTCACCTGGAGGAAAAGAAGGGAAGGATATTTCATGTATAAGGAGACAGATCAGGAAAAATCTCTCTCTTTGGTAAATTGCGAAATGCTCAGGATCCTTGGAATACAGCTTGAAGAAAAGTGATGACTGTCAAGAATCAAATGAGAAAGTGCCTTGAAGGCCATGCTAAGGAATTTGGACTTAATTCTGGAAATGATTTGGACCATGGAAAGGTATTTGAACAGGTCAGTGACATCATCAGATTTGATTCTTAGAAAAGTAACTGTTAATCCTGTGGAAAATTGAGTGAATGTTACTGGAAGAAAATAGAAAGTTAGGTTACTGTAATAGACCAGGTAAGGGATGAGCAGTTCCTGAAATAGTTTGCAAAAATAGTTAATGTCTGAGACAGATATGTTCTACCATTATTAAGTTGGAAAAACCAAATTAAGTCTCTAGGATAAGAAAATGTTAAGCCATTGCTGTACCTACTAC